CCGGTTAAGTGACAGAGAGCAGGTGTTCCTCCCACAGCTGTGCATGTCCTGGGCCCTGTACACTCCGGTATGAGTTCCCTTCTCTTGTCAAGTCCTCAGACCTCTCCTCCACAGCTGTTTCAAGAAGACCATTTCCTCTGAAGGCCCCAGACAACTCCACATCATACATCACACCCTAATTTTGCTCAGCTACCTGGAGGCCCCAGGGAGTTGGTTTCCTCAGCAAGCTAATTTTGCTCGTCAGCCTCGATCGTGGGTGACATATTGGAGGGGGCCTGCCTTTGGCTTTCAGCAGGGCATGTGAAGACACACAGGCACAGTGGGTGCAGGGACTCATCTGTCACATGCAAACACTCCCATGTTGTCGTGGTGTGAGGAGGCTCCTTGGCACATTGGTTTTCCTCTGGAGCACGCACAGACTTACTGTGTGCAGACTAGCTTAAAAGTCATACCCTTTCCAACCCAAAAGATTATGAGGTGACTGCCATACCCTACGGAGCCTCTCCGAATCCCAGGATAACCACTGCCCAGAAAGCCACGAGTCCTGATAGAATCCATCAAGTCATTCTGATTAGTGCAAGGTGCCAGCAAGACAGGCACCCTCATTAAATAGACCAGCGCCTTTTTGATATTCCAAAGTGAATCAAGTACTTCTGGGTCCTTAAGGAAAGAAACTGCATGATGTGATGGGGAATCCATCACATCAGGGGGAATCCATCATGGCAGGAAGGAGTGAACAGGGAGCAGTCAGCTGGTCTCAGGAGCCGGAGGCCACACTGCAGCCTTTCATGCCCTTTGCTGCCCCTGCTTCCCCACAGGCTTCCTTCACTGACCCCTCTCCCACTCTCCCATGGGAACTTGCAGCTCAGGGTCATGCCAGCCCAGGCTGAAGTCAATCTGAGGGCCATTAGCCTGCCCACACACTGGAAATCCCCACCATCCTCTATTTAAAGTCATGCCTTTTAAATCAAGTGCAAATATTAAAGTGCTAGCTAATTATCATGGGTCAGTTCATCAGTTCCTGCTTTTTCATAGAGGGAAAGGATCAGCAAGGTGGGGGGAGAGCAGGGAGAAAGGGGAATTAAGTGGAAACGGCCCATGCTGTGCCGGGTCGACAGGGGGCCGTGAACATGGGAAGGCAATGACTTCATCTCCCCATTCAGTTTCCTCATCCACAGTGGAGATATTCATAGCAACATTACATAAGGCAACCTATGTAATGTGGTTGGCGTTACGCCTGGCTCCTGCGAGGTGAACCAAAAATCTGAGCAGAGACATTACTGCTGGAGTTACAGTAACACCCTGGATAATCGTTCTTATTAGTAGCAGTAGAAGTAGCTATGAAGGTGGTTCCTGTGTGCTGCTGACAACAGTGACAAATGGTGACAGAGCCACCAGGTGAGAGGGCAGGGAAAGACACAGGCAGTGGACATCGTCCTTAGCTATGGCAGCACCCTGCCTGGGCTGGCTTCCAGGGGGACCCCCCTGCAAAATGATCAGAATCCAACACACACAGAAGGAGGCGAACCTCGGCTTTGTCACTCGCTAACGTGGGACTCCAGGGAAGTGACTAAACTCCCCAGAGTCTCTGTGTCCTCGACTGTAAAGTGGGGATAATCAAGCCGGTGGGACAGAGATCCATGTAACATCTGTGTAACACACACAGTGTACTGGAAATAGGCCGCCCCCTTCCCCTGACGGAGCTCTCTCCTCTCCAGATTGTGTTTGGCCAACTGTAGAATGAGAAATCCAACTGGATGCGGGAGAAGTAGGAGACTCAGCGTGAGGGCTCTTTGTTAAGAGAAGAAAGATGTCACCAGCTTCCTGACAGCCTCCTCCTCCCACTGGGGGAAATGGGAGAATGTACAGTAGAGCTGCTAAATGTTAGAACTCGCACCCATATTTAGTTACAGCACCCCTGTGGAACAATTCTGAGCTTGCTGATGGCGTGCACGCCTGTGAAATGGAAGCCATCCAGTAGAAAGGAGCCCCAAAGTAGGTTTTCATGGAAATATAACTCTGAACTTGCTGCTTTGGTATACCTTAACATAAATGAGAGCTGGGAGCTATCTTCTGCCATAAAATTAAAGATAATTTTTATAGTAGATCAACGTAATGACTATCAAGACTTGGCATCACTCCAAGATATTGTTCCTTTGATCTGAGTATGTGGGTGATGCCCGATGCTGTCCGAGTTTTGCTAGTTCAAAGGGACAGTTTAGGGACACTCTCCATGGAAATGTTACTCTCTTTGATGAAACTAACTATACAGAAAAAGGCATCTTTTAAAGCACCCATTTCTATGTTCAATGTTACTGTTTGGAAGACTTTATGTAATTCACAAAATACATTTCTTCTCATGCAAACAGCTCCAAGACTTTGTTTTCCTTAGGCATTTTTGAGTAACACTAACAAGAATTTTGCATTTTAAGTGTACTTTCAGAAAATTCTGTGTTTTATGTAACAGTTTCTGACACTGCTCTGTAGCTTATGTCATTAGTTACATATATGTTTTCTTTAATTATGTAACTGATGTTGACACTTCCTTCGCAGATGCTTACACTTTACTATTTTGTCACTGCAAAGTTATGAAATATATTTGAAACTCATATCAAATCACATTGCTGTCAACGAATTCTTGTAACTCTTTGCCTCTATGGCTAGTCCACTGCTCTCTTTGTGCAAGAGGCTTGTAAATAAATATAACCTTTCTCTCCACAGCTGTTTTTAGTCATAACAACCTAGTTATTATGGCCCCTGCCCTGGAGGGGCTCACTGTCAGGTCCAGATGATTGCAGCATTACAGGCATGAATCATTACCACAATTCATGGAGGAGAGAGTGGCTCTTGCCCACATGAACTAGGGAAAGTTCCACAAGTAAAGGGACTGCTGATCTGGGTCTTGAGGTTTTAGTAGGAGTTGGGTGAATGAAGAAGTCAGGACACCCCAGGCAGATGCAGACAGTTGATGGTTAGAACATAAGACACTGTCACCCAAGGCTTGATCTATAGTCTCATAGGAGACTGATGAGCTAGAGCCACTGGAAACTACTGGTAAAGGCCCGGAAAGGCACCCTGGGGGGGTGGGGGAGTCATCGTTATTCTATATGCAATGGAGCCACTGAAGTTCCTTAAGCGAGCTACCAATGGATCCAACATTCTAGAATGTAACTGACATGGTATGGCGGACTGTAACAGATCACAGCCACTCTAGTTTGAACACAAAAACCACAGAAAGAAAAGCAATCTCCTGTCAACTGTGCATAATTCAAGTAGGAAATCATCCAGCTGTCACTGGGTGGCCCATGAGAGTAGAGGGTGATAAATACAATGTCCTAAGCAATTGTCAGAGTGACCTGAAGAAAGCCATGTGATAAATATGGTGGGTCCCCCACTAGCAGCCTACAGTCCCAAGAGGGCTCTAGCTCTCCACATGTCCGCCGAGTCATTTACTGCACAGCCACACTCTGGCCACACGGTGGGAAAGCATGTGCTCTGCACACCGCTTCTCTGTCCTGACATGAGCAGGGCTGCTGTGCCCCCAGCAACACCCTGGATTTGTGAGATGGTCCACTGCAGGTTTTAGGATGGAGGTAGTCCAGCTAACCTATGCCATGTCCAACTTCCTGAGTGTATCCTTAATCCCATTCCTGCTCAAGTTACAGAAAGAGGTATGAGAAGTGGGGGCCCACTGGAGTGAAGGGGGATTTTCACTCACATTTTCTAAGATGATCATAATGATGAAGAAAGGAAACTGATAGAGGAACAATGAGAGAAGGGCTTAAAACCGAAATGAATAATGAAGGAATATGAATAAAAGCAGAGTAAATCATCAGGGAAAAGAAGTAAATTAAAGGGAATGAAGTAGGGGAGAAGGAAACACAAGAGAGGCAACATTTTTAAGGAAGATAAATATCAAGGAGAATGGAAGACAAATCAAAGAGCGAAATACAAAGATGGAAAGAGTGAACAAGGCATAGACGAATGATAAGCGTAAGCGTCTGATCTTCCTTCCAGGCCCTGGACTATTCTTGCTGTGTAGAGGTGAGTAGACGGAGAAATCAGAACCTGAGCCCTCCAGGAGAACAGCTTCTCCTATTTACGCTTCTAGGACCATTTGCCAAGTATTGAAAGACTTATCTTGAGGAAATCTAACTCACATTAGACCCTGACCCATCTGTAATCGCACTTCCCAGATCTCAAGGAGACACAGAGCAGGACATTTGTTGTAAATGAAAATCACCGTGGCGTATCTGGGAGCTTCATGGACACCAATGAGGGAAACCGCTATATTCAGGGAGCTCCTTGACTCCCAAGGAAACCGAGGCTTCAGGAGGACCTGAACTCAGAAGGCACTTACGAAGGGATCTGCGCATCCTCCCCCAACAAAGATGGAAGCCAGCAGAAGTTTTGCTGCTCCTCACAACTGCTCAGGCCGGCAGAAAGCCTGCAAATGGTACTGGGCAAGCCACCCCTTGGCCCCACGCTGAGCATCATCTAGTTAAATAGTGGTTACTTGTCATCGGGGCCCAGTGTGCGCCCCTCCTGCCTGGCGCTGAGGCGCCCGTGTCCAGGGGAATTGAGGGAACCTCACAGCACAACACCACACCAGAGGGAGGAAAGGCCATCATGGATGGGTGCCCTCCACATGGGTGCACAGAGGGGTCCCCTAACAGCACACCGAGTGGGCAGCCCGGCACTGATAGGCCTCCCAAGTGTATCCGGCAAGCGGCCCCCATGGTCAGCGAGCCGATCACAGCAAGGCCCCCAACTGCAAGCCCAGGGCACCTGCGTCACAGCCTTTCACACATCAGAAGGCGAATGTGAAGCGGTATTCTTTCAGTAGGGAAACTGACTGCTGCTTCTATATCCCAATGTAAGGAAACACAGGAGAGAGCTGTCAATTCTAGAACTTTCGAAAATGAGCAGGTCTGTGTGAATGCTGAGTGTGACCCAGAGTGGCATTAAGAGAAGACCAAAAGGTTACAACCAGCCCTTACCTTTTTGTCGCTCAGCCCAGACACCTGGTCCACATACTCCTCTTGGATCATGAAGGCAGCTAAGTTGGCAGTGTAGCTGGCCAGGAAGATGACAGCGAAGAAGGCCCACACGGACACCATGATCTTGGAGGTGGTTCCCTTTGGGTTCTGCACAGGGACGGAGTTGTTGAACACCAGGCCCCAGAGCAGCCAAATAGCTTTGCCAATGGTGAAGGATGGGCCGCCGGGCTCTGAGGTGAGGAAAAGACAGGGCAGGAAGTTCAGACTGAGTTGCTAGTTCTGCTTAAACCCACATGTTCCCAGAACTGGTATGTTCCTGCTCAGAGCAGAAACTCCACCAAGTAAGACCCAGATCACAATTTTTCACATGGAGCGTTTGTCTCCTCCTGGGACCTAAAAAGGCAGAAGAGTGTTCTCTAGGAGAAAGGCCAGCACTTTGGGGGGGGGGGGGAGTTTGCTCCAACTCATCAAACAACTCAGCCAGGGCACAGAAGGGGTCAGCTTCCTGCGCTTTTGTATCCAAGGCACTTATGTCACATAAAAACCGACAAACCATGGCAACGACCCACGATGGAGCCTCACGCTTGTGTTCTCATTACTGTTGTTTCTATTTTTTTTTTCTTATCTGTATCTACCAAGAAAGAATTTGAAGTTCAAAAAAGACTGGCCAGGAAGGTGTGTCATCTTCCCCACTGTCGTTGTAGAGCCCCTTCCAATTTTATTGGCACTGATGTTGGGCTGAACACACTCAGGGGAAAGGAGCTTTCTTTAGCTTCTAGAATTCACACTCAAATATCTGGAAACTAGGCTTACTCCACTCCAGGGCTGATACCTCTCAATATTACTTTTTCCTACGGTAGCAGCTTCTGTGAAAAAGAATAGTAAGGAGGCCACACAGAACGTCACAGACCCTTGGCTTTGCCTCATGTATTGTGGGTGGAAAGACAACCATCTGACTTCCTTCCACCACCTTTCGGTGCTGAGCAACTTAAAGCAAATCTACTTCACAGTCGGCAGTTCTGGTACAGCAGGGCCCCACCGGATCCACTGAGTCTGGGAGGCCAAGACCAAGGTGTGGCTTAAGGCTGTGCTCTTTGCTGAGGCTCCTGAGCTCAGTCTACTTCCCAGCTGGTTTAAGTTGTCCGCCAAATCTAATTCCTGTATTCTAGGACTGAGGTTCCCCTGTCGATTAGCTGAGCTGGTCCTTCTTCCCCTCGCGCCCTGGCCTATGGAACAGCTCCGATACAGCGAGAGCTCACTGGACCTGCCTGTGTAAGCCCTCTCTGACTTTGTCATCAGTCGACTCTCTCTTCTGCCTCCAGCCAGAGGGAGTTCTGAGCTCTAAGTGCTCAGCATCACTGACACCAAGGACTGGTAATTCAGAAGCCCACAGAGACACCACCTCATAGCCATGGTATCGGTACATACCAAAAAGGGCAGAAACAGCAAGTTTCTCATAATCTAAATGTTGTAGCAATGTGTTTCTGGGTACAGTCTATTAAATATCATCTCTGGGGCCCTCCCTGGTGGCACAATGGGCAAGGACGCAGCACTGCAAGCTGGCTGCAGCCACTTCAGTGCAAGATCAATCCCTGGCCCATATGGCGCGTCAGACCTCTCCTGACCTGCCTACTGCTCCCCTCAGCAGTGTACTTCATCGATCTTGTTCTGCTCCCCACTCTGTCTCTGGTGAATCCTCTCACTGCCCCTGCACCTCTGGCTTGCACCCCAGTTCTGTATGTATAGATAAATAAGTCTTTAAATAAGTCTTAAAAAAAGAATACCATCCCTGGTGCAGAATTTGCCACCGGTGGGCCCACTGTCCACCCACCCTTTACACAACAGTGCCAACGCTTCTGATCAGATCTCTCTGCTTTCTCTGCTCAGTGAGGGCGAGGTCCTGAAGGCACAATGTCCCTCCCCAGCAGAGGGGATCATCCACCCACCCAACTTGAGGTCACGTTAGCACACATCCTGGCAGGTTCTCAGTGAGGCTGGGACCACCTGCCCAGCCAACTAAATCACCAGTGATGGCACCTCTTGAGCCCAGCACCTAACTGTGCCCGCACATCTGTGCCCATGGGCCGTATTTCACGGAGCAGATGTGCAACTCGGAAGTCATTTATAAATCAGACTTTTGTACACAGTAAAACACCCCAAGGAGACTTGCTGCTGAAAGTGGCCCCTTGGCGAATTCCTTGTGAAGACAAGCAGCATCCTCTGGGACGGTGAGTGATTGCCAGCCTTGCTCTGCACTTTGTGTCTGGATTTTCAGCCTCTTTGTTCTTCAAGGAGGAGGGAAGGGAGCAGAGGGGGAGAGGCAGGGGAGAGGCACACCCTCTTGACATTGGTACGTGTATGTGCATGTGTGTGTTCCTCAGTTGTTCTCCTTACTAAAGCCCCTTGAGATGAAGAGGAGGCCATGGGCTCTGGAGGACCCTGTGGCACCGGTGGGACTCTCCTGTCTGTGCTGCGTTGTGGAGATGGCAAACCTTCACCCAAAACACACCAAGCAAAGAAGACAGGTCTATCCCTGGAAACCTTTGAGTGTGATGGTAGCTCCCAGGCTGCCTGGGGATTTTCACAAATACCAGGGGGGGTTCTATAAAATCCTGCTGCCTGGCACACCACCCCCCAACCCCCCAGGAGATTCTCATTAAACTGGCATGGGTGGGCTGGTTGTTCTAATGGGCAGCAAAGCAGACAACCACTATTCTGAAGCAGAGTGGCCCAAGCCTTTCCAGACGCAGTGGATCGGTACGTGAGAAAGTTGGAGGCCTAAACAGCTCTGCCTTTGAAGTGCCCCACTGGGAAGTGTAGCTGAGGTTGAGCATTTTTCTTCTTGGAAGTATGATTCCAGTATAAAGAGTCAAAAAGAAAAAAATAAATAAAAAAGAAGAATATACTCTAAGCCTGGGGGTTTAGGAAGATGGAAGAAGCTATTGTCAGGGATCTCGTAGTCCCTCTCAGAAACCTAGTGAACTTTTTGTGAAAAGTCTCATAAATGCCTCAAACACGCAGTCAGCCCTCACACCCAGGAAACTGAACTATTCCCAGGAGCATTTAGGGGGAGAACTGGCCTCTCTCAGCCATTTCATTTCATGCCCCCAATTCCTTTTTCTACTTCCTGACAGAGGAGCTGAGCCAGGAACACAGGAGGGACCTCGTATCACAGGGTGCTTGTCGGCCATGGTGAATCCTTCCGGCCACTACTGCCCACCTTTTGGCTGGGGTGGCCTATTTTCTTACTCTTAATATATGGACATAATCTGCCTTGTTAGTCCATCTGTTCAGACAGACTGCTCATAGCCCAAGGTGGTCAAAACAGTTCCTCTGACACAGTGAGGTGACATATCTCCTGCCAGCTTTCCTCTCTGTCCCCTAAGGGTGAAACCTGGCTGGGGTCTGGCATGAACTAAGGAGGGGACATCCAGACTCAAGCTAACATCTTCATTAGGGTGTTTGTCATGAGTCTCAGGGCCGCTGATGTGTCCGGCAAAGGGTTTACTTTCAGAAACGGAGCAGTGGAGAGAGGAGGCAGAAAGCAAACTGTGAGGTGGGCACAAAGATGTTGGAACTAAGAACTAGGAAACCACAGCAAGGTGACTTACCTCTGCCATCAGCGAGGCACCTGTTATAACCCACAGGGCTGAAGTACTCGAAGACGAAGACAGCCACAGCCGAGACGATGAGCAGCATTACAAACATCATGACCCACACGTCAGCACTGAAGGGCTCTGGGAAGGAAAACATTGATGTTCGGGTTAACAAAGATGGCAGGCCCTCCCTGGTGGTGCAACAGGATAAGATGCAGCACTGCAAGCCAGCTGCAGCTGCTTCAGTGCAAATTGGATCCCGGGCCCCAGAGGTGATCCACATAGTGGAGTAGACCTCTCCTGCCCGCTGCTCCCCTCAGCAACATACTTCGTTGATCTGCCTGTTCTGCTCCCCAGTCTGTCTTTGATGACTCCTCTCACTACCCCTGCACCTCTGGCCTGTACCCCAGTTTTGTGTGTCTAAATAAATAAATCTTTAAAAAACAAAACAGGCCCTCCCTGGTGGTGCAGCGGGTTAAAGCACAGCACTGAGAAGCTAAAGCCACTTCTGCATGAGTTCGATCCCCGCCTGCCCCAGAGGTGACCACATGGCATGGCAGACCTCTCCTGACCCACCCGATGCTCCCCTCAGCAATATACTTCATCGATCTGCCTGTTCTGCTCCCCACTCTGTCTCTGGTGAATCCTCTCACCCTCCACATCTCTGGCTTATACCCCAGTTCTGTATGAATAAATAAATAAATCTTTAAAATAAAATAAAAAAGTAAAAAAAAAAAACAAAGATGGCAGATGGGGTCTGAGTCATTCTCTCACTGCAGGAGGAGGCATTTTCTGGAACAACAAGCCATAAGGGTGTGTGTCCCTTTAGAGGCCAGGGTTTGGCTCCAGGAAGTATCTGAGGCCATGTCTGTGTGTGCGCAAGTCAAGGTTTATTTTCTTTCTAACACATGAGGAACAGTGTTGACAGTTTCTGCCATCTGCCATGACTGGACCAGTATCTGGGTCCTTTGATAAATGGCACGACTGGCCGAAGTACAAGGCATGGAGTAAGAGCATAGAGAGGCCTGGGTCTCGGGCTGTGTTCCCTGCTCTGTGGCTGCACCACACAGTGGCGACCGGATAAGGTCTCCCTGTGCTTCCCAGCCTTTCGGCTAACTTCATCCTCTCCAGGCGTATTTACTACATTAGCTGTGACTTGAGTCAGTAATGATTGCAGTGGGCTATTTCCTTGTCCCCTTGACTTGCTTCACTTAAACTTTCCAGCCTAGATTTACTTCTTCAGTACACTTTGATGTGGTTTATTTTATGTGACATTATTAGAGGACAAGACTATAATTTGATGTTAAAAAAATATCCTTTCACATTGAATATGAGTATCTGTAGTCAGAGGGAACTTAGCAGGTGACAAGGGAACATGCCTTAGCTGTTATTAAAAAAATGACAAACTATTCCCTGCTGCCAGTGACAGGGTTGGGGTGACATGGTGACACAAGACAGCAGAAATGTCCCATACATGCTTTCTTTAATCATTTCTGCTGAGTCCCTGCCAGATGATCTAAATCTCTCCAGCTTGGAGGTGTCCAGAAATTGAACACTCCATCCCAGGAGCCATCTCTCGGAAAACCTTTAAAAAGGGACAATCACTATTCTGTCCTAGGAGATAATGCTCCCTCAATTGTGTCTTAAAATAGTTACGGCCATTTTAGCTGTCACATCACATTGCAGACTTGTAACTAAGTGAATCAACATGCTGTTTTCTCCATCTTCCAAATCATTAATAAAGATGAAGTGGAAAGGGAGGAAAAACCACCTGGCAATTAGAAAATGTTTTCTTACTTTGACATCTACTTTACTGTTAATCTCCCAAGGGAAGATCAAAACCTGGTCACTTCATCAAGTTAAAAAGAGCCCTGATAAAGCACAACCCACTCTGTGATGTGCAAACCCTTTGAGGGGCAGGGAAGAAGGTATATTCAATACACAAAATACTACATACATTTTCAACCACATTTTCCAAAGTCCCAAGCATATCCCTTCATTATGGGATTACTATACTCATTCTTCAGTAACCCTAACACAGAGATCAAGGTCCTTTCACATCTAAAAGATGGCTGGGCCAGGTTATCAGTAGAGATATACTGGGTGTTGTCATCATATTGCACCCCTCGTTAGTCGCCTCCCTGCACAGTGGCTCCTGATTTGGAACCTGAACTCTCAGATGACCCATGTCATCTATATACTAGAACCCTGACATTCAAGGCAGACACATGGGGTTTTAATCCTGGGTCTGCCTGTGACTAGCTCAGAGACTGCTGGAAAACTGTTCTGTTCAATCTTCTGTTGCCCATGCTACAAGATGGGTTTCATAATAGTACTAAAGAGATAATATAATTAAAGGATATATAAGACTGCCTAGCATACAACACAGCAGACTGGAACATGTGAGCTTCCCTAATCTCTGAAGTTAACTAGCTGTAAAACTGCTCTTCTTACACACACACACACACACACACACACACACACACACACACACACACACACCACATACACAGAGGTTTACACTCACAACTTGCCTGCCATTTCTGTTCCATTCTAAGGCTACTCTGATGTACTAATGACCTTTCCAGTTAAAGCTGGTGCTAGACTGACACGGTTAGATTTGGAATGTAGTTTTCCTCATATCTTTTAATGTTCCTCGTATCATTGTAGACGAATAAAAGCAAATAAAATACACAAAGCTTCTATGAGGATTCATGTCTATAAGAACATACAATTTAATAACAATTCACATAAAACTGGCTGGATAAGCATTTTCTTTGTGCTAAGTAATGTTAGCTGAGAAAAATCGAATGATTCACAAAAAAATTCTATAGAACCTATAACTCCACGATGCAGTACACTAATTGAATCATTTCCCTCCCTGGATAGAGCTTAAAGAAATGTTAGTCACTATCTTTTCCAATATTCTCACGGAAAGAAGGCTGACGTCCTTTAGAGCATGCGTGACCCGCCTAAGGGCTTATAGCTTGTGTACATCTAAGTGAGCCTTCCCGACTCCCCAACCTTCTAGTTTCAAGGTGATTTTTTACTTCCCAATCCTTTGCTCTCAGTGCTCCACAAAAAAAAAAAAAAAAAAAAAAAAAAAAAA